TTTTTTAAAGTGCCTTTAGTTGCATTTCTATAGAAAAATTGTTAAATTAATTAAAACTTGGATGAAATGAAAGTGATTTTCAACAGTCTCTAATTAGAACTAAGAAAAGTCTATCTTAACTTTTTCCAGTGGAAGTTACATGATACTCTGCGTATTAACGGTTTTGATGACTTATCCAGTTGAAATAACGTGGGGTGAGAAAAGGGACATTTTAGGCCAGGTGCGGTGGCTCACGCCTGCAATCCCAGCACTTTGGGAGGCCGAGGCGGGCAGATCCCTTGAGCCTAGGAGTTCAAGACCATCCTGGATGACATAGCGAAACTCCATCTCCACAAAAAACAACCAAAAGCTAGCCAGGCGTGGTGGCACGTGCCTGTAATCTCACCTACTTGCGAGGCTGAGTTGGCAGGATCACTTGAGTCTGGGAAGTTGAGGCTACAGTGAGTTGACATCATGTCTCTACACTCCAGCCTGGGTGACAGAATGAGACCCTGTCTCAAAAAGAAAGAGAGAGGGGAGCAAAGAAAAGAAAGAGAAGGAGAAGGGAGGGGAGAGGAGGGGATGCGATTATGCTACTCAGGACCCTAATAATATTTTCTATTTCTCAGTTGGGGTTTGAGGTATGGGTTCCAGTTGTACCTTTTAGGCACCCTTGGAATTTGGTTTCGATAGCTCCTTGAGTGGTCTTTTGAAAAACAGGGCTCCACTCTTCTCTTTGGGGTTTAAATAATTAAATAAAACCCTTTGGTTTTTGTCATCCTTGAAAATATTTTGAAAATATGTCCTATCAGCCATTAAAGTTTTATCACCATAATCTCACTAGGGCTAATTTGTTGACAGGGAAGCTGTTGTTATTGACCAAGCCTCCTCTCCCAAGGCCGCATGGCAGGGTGCACCATTCTCACTATACCCCTGTCTTCTAAATAGCAACATAATTAGAACGAGGACTTCTCTGCCTCCAGCTACGCTGATTCCTGGGGAGGCCAACTGGGAGACCTTTTGAAGTCAGAGGGAGAGAGGTTTTGTTTCTACGAAGCCAGCTACCCTAACAAAAGCCAATTCAACTGAAGTTTTAAGATGGCTATCACTTAAAAATAAATGAAGAAAAACAAGGCTTCAATCCCTGAACACAAAGGGCAATATGAAACTTTGTGTGTGTATGCGTGCGTATGTGTGTGTGTAGTTTTGACTCATTACTAAAAATTACCACTTAGAGAAAAGAAAAAGGAAATTGAAGCAGTCGAAAACCAAATTCCTTTGAGTTTCTCCTGTGACTCAGCCTTTCAAAACTTCTCATTGGCCCTGGCCCCGGGCTGTCCGGCCACCCCTCTCTCTTTCTCCCACCCCATTCTGAGTCTTTCATAGGAGTCACTCAGATGTACCCTTATTAATTTAAGCTATTGAGGAGGAGGCAAAAAGAGAGATCTTTATTCTCCATGAACTTTGGCCATTTCTCCAAAGAAACAGTTGTCTGGCATCTCAGTAATATGCTGGTGGTCAGT